AAGAATATTACTTTGAACACTAGATTAAAATACCTATCAGGCCTAACGAGATTCATGAGATCAAAGCTAACAAAAAACCAATGATACCAAAAAGTCTTGTCGAACTACAAGAAGCATTAGAAAATATCACAGATGAAATCTACATCAACATACCCATCAAACAACAAAAAAAAATCAACTTTACTATAACAATTCTTTGACAATACTTCGAGATACCACAAATCCCAGACTACATACTAGAACTCTCTCCTCTTTCAAAACCAACTTGGGATATCTTTGTATAGCTATGTCAATCACCAACAACCACGACAAAAACAACCATACAACAAACACACATAACACAAACAACTATATACAAACAGACACTATCAATTTAGCTTTACACAATATATGAGGACTCAACAATGATATCAAAAGACAAATATGGCTCGACTACTGCAAAAAAAAAAATATAGACATAATAAACATGACAGAAACCAAACTCGCTGAGTCAAAATACACAAACCTACAACTACATAATGAAACATATCACTTCTATACATCAAACACTACAACAACAGCAAAGAAACAAGAATCAAGCTTTGGAGTTGCAATAGCAATATACAAAAAACTACAACCATATATACATAACATACAAACCTACCCAGGAACAGCACTCTGTATCGATATATTCTTACTACACAAAAACTAATTTCGAATTATAACAACATACCTATCAAGCAATAACAAACAACTCAATAACACAACTCAATCCAAAATAATAGAATAGATAGAACAAGCAAACAAACAAAAGATCAAACCAATCGTTCTTGAAGATTTTAACCTTGATCTCAATAAAAAACACACATATAACACCTGATACAACATCTAAAGAATACAAACATGCTACCACTAATCAATATACTATTACCAAATCAACCTACTTGGATATCTCAACGAACCAACAGCCAAATAGATGAGATATGGATTTCAGAAAACTCAATAGAAAACTTCTACAACCCTATACTCAAAGACTCTATACAAATTACAGACAGTAATTATAAAATAATTTTTATACCAGTCAACATATTATATACATACAAAAGAAGTAAAAACAGAACAAAGAGAACAATCTACAACTACGATATGATGAATACAGAAACATGAGAACAATTTGCAAACTCAATCGAAACAGAACTCACACAAACCAAAATAGACTCACTAAATCCAAGTATAAAAAACCTCAACAAACATGGCACATACTAGCAAACTGCATTAAAAAAAGCGCAAACAAACATATTTTACATACATACAAAATAATACAAAACAACAATCATCTATTTTCACCTACTGCTACCAAACTACACAAGGCATTAATATATACAAACAAAGCACGAAGACATATAAGTATATATAAACAAGTATCAAATACTGACCTAATACACAACCTTATACAACAAATCAATAATCTAACAGATATACAAATTCAAATACAACCTAACACAATGGTCAAAGAAATAGATAAAATACTCAAGACAACCCAACAACAGATCAAAACAGCAAGAAATATAGAAAACCAAATAGCAAAAAACCAACATATAAAGAACTGCATCGAATGAAAATACCAAAACTTCCAAAACAATACATCCAAAATGATAAAAAGTATACTCAAAAAACATACAAACCCTGTCATATTACATAATATCCGCACATCAGACAACGTAATCACAGAACTTCAGGAGATCAAAATAGCAATACAAGAATATTTCAAAAACTGGACAAAGCTAAATCCTATCCAAACAGAACTATAGCAAGAATGGGCAGAAAAATACAAACCCATCCAAACAATTGACCCAACATGGTATAGCACAACCACAACAAAGATTACACCTCTCGAACTAGAGACTACAATCAAAGAAATACCCAATATAAAGACTATCGGACTCTCAAGGATATCAAACGAAATGTTAAAACACCTAGGCTCTCGAGCAAAAACTACAATTCTAGATATACTCAACAACTGTCTGTCACTACACGATATACCCACCACATGGAAACATAGTACAATATACTCTATATCAAAAAAAGCAACATTCACAGGCGATCTAAATCAAACACACCCTATTATACTAATAGAATATATTAGAAAGATCCTCACAAAAATTATAGTATGGAGACTAGACCCCATACTATCCAAATATAACATATTAAACCCAAACAATTATGTAGCCTTAGCAATATCTCTACAGCAATGCCAATATATACTTTTTAACATATAATAGAAGATGCCCAGACAAACAAAAAAGAACTATGGTTATTATTACAAGACATGAGTAAGGCCTACGACTTAATACATATACCACTCCTAATCAAAGCACTATACCGTATCAAGATACCCAAACCCATAACAAACATCATAAATAACATACTATCTTACAGACACAACAATATCATCACCAATCATGGACTAACTAACAAATACCAAGTTCAAGACGGTATAGACCAAGAGGAAACTATAACTCCACTACTATGGAGGATATATTATGATCTCTTGTTGACCCAAATCAACAAAAATCACCCTATATATACAGTCAGACCTCTCTAAATACAACCTTCATAAATACAATATCTCCCTAAATGCACATTTTTGTCTTGGCTGTATGAAATCATTAGTGCTAAATGCATGTTCTATATTCTGCAAATACACATTTACTCAAAAGATTTTTTATATCATACTAACCTCCCTAAGTGCACGTAGCCAATCAGAAGTCAGTATTTAAGTTTGTTATACAAGTCTGCAGATCAAATATTAAAAGCTGCAATTTGATTGGCTCCCTCTAAATGCAAACCTCCCTAAATGCATGTTTTAGGCTAGTCTGTATATGTTGCATTTATAGAGATTTAACTGTACAATAAGAACAACAATACAACAACCAATACATATACAACACAAATGTCTCAGCAAACAACAAAATATATTGGCATATATGGACGACACATTATGGATAGCAGAAA